GGGACGGCTAGCGCAGATAGCCCTCGTGTAGCTTTGCGCGAAATTCCAAAAAAACAAACAAACAATCCTTTCTTCTACTCTATCATTTCAAAATTAGGAACGGCTAGTACAGATAGCCTTTAGGCAGCTCTGCACATATATATATCTGAAACAAACCAAATCTATTAATTAGTCAAGCGTTTCACTCTGTTGTAAATGTCGTGAAGATATGTAATATCCACTTTCAAACACGTTTAAAAGGTTGAGTAACGGAAATATACTAGAATTCCAAAAGAGTTACAATGTCATTTCCCAATCGAATTCGAATAAATAATTAAGGAATATGAGAAACATTTATATAGGAAGAAGAAAAATATCGACTGATGTACATTGTGAAGACGTTGTTGATTGTGGTTAAAATCCCACAATCAAGTTATATCATCTAACACCAGTTAATATCAAACAAAATTCCAGAGAATAGAATAAATTAAATAACTTCCAGAAAAATAGAGGGGAAAGAAACTCATTTTTTCTCTCTCTCTCTCTATATATATATATATATAAAGCACAAAAATTAATTACACTAAACACTCGACGTTATACATTCATGGACATGGCCTGAAAAGGTTTACTCGTGTGTGTGCGAATGAACTATTACTACGCGCATGTAGTGGCTGCATGATGTAAGGACGGATTTACCTAGCTACCGGACCGTATTCTACTGAAGAATTAATCTGGGCTTCATCCAACACTCAAGAACCAAATCAGTAGTCAAGGGGAAGGGAAAGGCCCATGTTTACCTGATCCTCCCAGATCACATGATCAAACAACGACCAAATTAAACAAAATTATAAGACAATATACACGTAGTGTGTGAAGAGGGCACACTGACATCTTGTACATCTCAGAGAGTGCACTAGCATTATGTGGAGCAATACAATGAAAAAAAAATGGCCGCCACTATTGCAATACTACATAAACTCAGCTGAATTTTATACTCCAACAGTCACGATAAGGCTGATATAAAAAGCCGTTTCTTGAGTTATACTCACTTCCTATTTTGACCCGTGACTTTTCAACTTCGGCCCGTAAGACACTTCTACGGTCAATTACCGTCAATTAATCAATCACGTAAAATACTGTGGAAAAATATTAAGAGCTGGGTGTTGAAAACGGGTAACAGAAAGCACCCCTACCGTCACCACTCTGGCCTCTACCTGACCATTGCACAGTGCATACCATGTTTTAAGTATATAAATATTGAGTTCTTAAAGCTTATATAAAACTTTTGATAAAGTAATAACGAATACTGTAATAATATGTTATCTTATAAATACATAGTGTGAAAGTTAGGATTTTTGTGTTATTTATCACGTTTCAAAAAGCAAGTTTACAAAGCTCTCTCTTTTGAAGAATAAAATTACAGGTAAGATTTAAAAGTGAAGTGTGTGTAAATTAAATAGTCTACATTACAATTAAATGTCTTTCAAAAAGTTTAATTCTTCTAAATTGTGCACCAATTAAGAGAAAAATGAATCATAAGCTAATAGAATGCCGGGAAACTAGTTCTCAATAAAAACAAAGGAATAACGAGGAAGATAACTGCCAGCTAAAGGAATCCTTATGATATTCGATATAATAAACAAAACCTTATAATTACTGAAGACCAAGGAGGAAAAAAAAATATCGAGAAGATAAATACACACATATTAAATACGGGATTTGAATGCATTTGAAGATCGGAAAGGGATTTGAAAGCATTTTATAGTTTGTTTGTTGTTGTTGTTTTCAAATACTTTAATTCTAGATGTTTAATTCCCTTCTGTAAGCAATTGAAAATATGTTTGTTTTGTAGTAGTCCTAGTGTATAATAATAGAGATGTTTGGACTAATTTCAATTATATACAGATTAATATCTAGAAATAACTTAAGCAAGGCAAAACTTTAAAGCAGTTATGAAGCATTTCATATTTATAACATAACATAAAGTTTAGGGACAACAAGAGACCCATTGATCCATCTGCGATGTCCCATCCTCTTATATAAAATAAAACTATTAAATAAAAACCCTCAAAGCCAGCCCTTATCATTAATCTAGTTATCAAGCTTTCTCTTAAGCTCGCTTGAATTTACTGCTTCACAACATCCGAAGGCAACCAGTTCCAAAGGCCTACTATCCACTTACAAAACACTATCAATTCCCTTTACAATCTTAAACATTTCAACCAGATCAACTTTAACTATTTCTTTTTTCAAAACAAAATAATTTTAGTCATCTTAACCTCTCCTCGTATAACAAGTCAATGCCCTTGCAAATATAAGAATCCCAACACTGATCACAATACTCCAGATATGGCCTAACTAGTGACCTATACAATGCAATTATCACCTCTTTAAACTTGTATTAAATATTTCTGTAGATACAACCAAAAATCCTATTTGCCTTACCACTAGCAACAGCACACTGCTTCGATGGTTTAGGAGGCTGAGCAACCACTACAACAAAATCCCTTTCTTTCATAACACTGTTAAGGATATTCCCACCCGAATTATACTTATGATTCAAATTATGATAACCCACATGCATTACCTTGCATTTATTTTAATTAAAACCCATCTTCCATTTGTTCACCCAACTCACTGAATGACCTAAATCCTTTAGTAAAGTAGCAACATCCTCCTCACAACCTCCACACAAAACCTTGATTTTACTAAACTTTATTAAATGTATTTATGTTATTGATAAAACACATTTGACTTTGAAAGCAAAGAAAAATAGAACATGTATAAGAAAACCATTGCCAAATTGATAACTTATATATTTAACAACTTATTTTTATCTAACCTATACTTTATGGTAGCAAACGTCTTAAACACCTGCTATTAATATTCTGGTTTATCATTGAAGTTGTTAATTAGCGAATCTGAAATTATTTATTAAAGGACTAAGGCATTCTGTGAAAAGAGAAAAAAACAAGTTACAGCAAAAATCCACAGAGTTATAGATTTGCAGTAATAGAGTAAAATTTTCAAGTTCAAGGTTGGTTTCTGACGAAGACAATCATACATGTTTGTTAAATTGTGTACCATAATCATTTTTGCTTCGAAAAATATCATTGATTTATTGAGTTGTGTTCTTTCTTGGGAACTTACGAGAGTTGGGGAGAAAAAAAAAACACCATTAAAGCTATTTTATGAGAAACTTTATGGTGACCGTAATTGTTGTACATGGTCATATCTCATTGTTAGAGGCGAAACATTGTACAAAAGAAAATCTATTATCCCACAAATATCTGTTTCAAAATTTCATATTCAATATGGGATGCTAAATAATATAATATGGGGGTGAGGATACAAATCATGTCGCATTAAGTTATGAAGACATGTTATGTATTTCTCACCCCATTTGTCAAAATATTAATTTTCTCCAAATTATCCTTACGTATTAAGCATGTAGTCTGAATACAAAACATCGGTTAAGAGAGGAACTTATTTCCTTCCGCTCTTATTAGTCACGGTCCGAAGTCAATCAATTAGCATGTTACATGTACTTTCTGGTAAAAAAAAAATTGTTTTAAGGTCAAGCATACTAAATAGAAATCAATAGTGATCTTTTCCTTTGATAAGTAAGAATATGCTCCACAGACACAACAGAGAGTGGCCATCAGTCATGTGGGTTGTGCCTAGGGCCTGAGAAAAATAGAATTATCTTTCATGTGTAATGCCTTTTTTCAGTCTAAAAAATAATGATTTTAAAGAGAGAGAGAGAATTCAATATAATTTAAGATGCAAGATAATTGATTTGATTTAAAACACACGGAGAGCTCTGAAATAATGGTGCCACTAAGCTCACTTGCCTTTTAACTTTAATTGTAATTGCGTATTAGAAATATAGATTGTTTAACAGTGCTCAACTTAACGATGCATAAAACTCAGCCGCAATTAATAGAATTCAGATTTTTGCAACACAATACGTTTTCTTGTGAGCCTTCTTTTATTCTACGGTTCCCACGCAATTACTCGACGGGAAATCAGTGAACCTGAGAATACCACAACATGGATATATATATATCGGTTGGAGATCAAAGTGTGACTAGAACACACAAGAGGAAAAAAGAAAATTGTAACTGCTTTTTTTTTTTGTTGTTGTTGTTTTTTTTGTATTAGCTTAAAGCCACTCAAAGCCTATCCCTAATTACGAACTGTAAGACTGGAGAGAAGACAGCTAGTCAACAACGCCTAACGCCAACTCTAACTGAAAAACGAGTTTGCAAAGTAGATTTGAACGTGAAGTATTTTCTTGTTCAATAATGCATGACATGCTTCTTCAGAGTGCTAGTAAACTCTGTGTATAGTAATACGAAAGACAGAATATTTATTATGTATAAGATGTTTAAATGGAATATACTCAAACTTGGAATAATTTTATTACAAGAAGTAAATAAGTTATAATTTGGTGTGATGTATCTCTATAGTAAAAAGTGATAAAATAAACTCATTGCAGCAAAATTATAATTAATTATTATTGCTTACATCCACTTGAATATATACTCAACTTTATGCAGTTATTACTCTTTGATAGTTTAGAATACGAAAAATACCAATTTAAGAACACTTACAGATTTTTGTTTGTAGAAAAAGTGAGCTATGGTCAGATTTAATCTGAAAAACTTGTAGTCAGCACATTTTACGTATTCAGAACAGATTCACCATTCAAGCATCAAAGAGGCATTTAAATTCGTTGACTGATTCAACTTTCAGATTTAGAATGAATATGAACTCCAGGTTGAAAGCTGCCAAGCATATATTAATGAATACCTTGAGAAAAATGACTGAATCGGCTAGCGGGGTAAGGCTGCTAAAGATTAAAGAAAAAATTATGATAAGGTTAAAACGCCGAATGCCGGTGGAGTATCGGAATGAATAAACTAGGAGAAATGCGGAAAATAATATCTGCGCTTTACGTGATTTTTATCACAAATTTTAGGCCAATTGGTTTCTGAAATGTCACGGTACCTTAAGAAAAACAGAATTAAAAAAACGCAGATAAAATGGTTTCTTATTAAGTTCAATGTGAAAGGTTAAAATGTTTTGTTTATATTCTGTTATCCTATTATCTAAATTTTTAATTTAAAGAATAACTACCTAATTTTCTCCATCTGAAAAGACACAGTTTTAAAGTGTAAAGTTTTGTTATGATCAATACTTACCTTACAGGCATATGTATATTGCTTCAAGATATCAGGACATCGATTGTTTTCATGCAAACTTTCGCTACTGCTCAGTTTCCTTATTTGATCGATACCTTTTATAAAAAAAAACAAAACAAGGTTATTGTCTGTTTGTTACATTAAAGACAATGTTGGTACTAAACTTTGATACCTTACTAATAAATGTACGATTTGAAATCTGAGAAATATAATATTTGTTTCTTTTCTTAAGTTAATATTTTAAGCATATAAACTGTACATCGACAAGTAGACTCACATGTACATTTACTGTTATGCATTGGACTAAGTATCTGAACATCTTGACTTATAACTTTCTCAGCTTTTACCGAATAACTCAAAGAAGTTCACATACTTCAAGAAATAACAGGTTATATACATAAAAGTAATGAAATTTCACCTCTGATTAATCTCACACCGCGTCTTATCTTTGACCTCTGGTTAGTATCACAGCGCGTTTTATCTTTGTTTGCACGATTTCTTAGAATTGTAATACCTTCTTGAACTTGTGTTATAAAAGATAACTGTATGCTAATTCACTTAAGCCTCAAAATATTTCAGTTCCAAGACAGTAAACAAACTATATATTGATTGTTGATACACTAAAACTTTCGAATTCTGTAAACTTTTTAAACAGATTTAATAAAACTGTATTACTGTTCGTACTTAGAGGTAAGTCATACTTATAATATCTAAATACAAAGAGCTATTACCAAATATATATCAAATAACGGAACAGAACATTCAGTAACAAACAAGGTACAAAACATAGTGACTACAAAGCACGTTCGCAACAACGGTATGTTTGATACTTTTCACTGTGATACAGGTCAGCTTTTTCTATCTCTCTTTCTTTAACTTGTGTTCAAGCTCACCAGTATAACACACGTTGATCAGAGTGTAGATTGAACTGGACTCCCTTTAACTTAAACTTAGAGATTAAACAATTTTTAGAACACTAAATTTATTTATTATTTATTATTAATTATAAGATTCTGCGTAGACATAGTTAAAATTTTATACAAAAAATCCTTCATAAAAATACAACATATAAAGAAATCTCCATATTTCTTGATTTCTGTTTTTGTAAAAAGCAACCAAGCTCGAAATTAATCTGTATGTACAGTGATCTGTAAAGAGTAGTTGGTTGATAACTCACCCCAGTTTTCAAGGTGAGCAATACGATGTACCTGAGTTTCTTCACTTTTGGAACAATTCCTCCACGAACCTTCATGGTCTAAAAACTATCAAATCATAGTACACGTTAAAAAGCTGAAGTACCCAGGCGATTTTACTGATAATATATAAAGTTTAATGATTAAAAAATTATACAGCTACCCTATATGAACGTGGAGAAAGGCTTAAGTCATTATCAATGTCAGCTTAGACAATGTAGTAAGCTTCAGAAATGATGCGTTTAAAGGCTCATCCAGCATAGACGCGAGCGAATAAGTAAGAAGTATTGAGAACAAATGGGAATATCCATAACAGACGGGAGTGACATCACTTTGACAAAGTATCGCTTCGCTAAGACTGAACCTGTCTTGTCGCGCGACTCGAAAAAAACTGACCAATCAAAATACTCCGGACTATACTAATAATAACAAAAATGGTGAGTACGTAGAGCTTAGTAACAACTACGTAATGATAATAATAAAAATGGTAGATTACGTAGCGTTTAGCAACAGTAAAATAATAATAATTATTATAATACTGCACTTTAAAAATGTTAATAAACAAAAAGGAACAAAGAACAATATAAAAACATAGTTGAGAATGCAATAAGTTATATATATGTATAACAATTAAAATATTTTAATTTTGTTGAAAATATTAATTAATTAAACTATATGCTACTACTTGTGAACATCAGAGTTCTTGTTATCAAAACACGACCTGTTTTGTAATGGCACAGTCCATCTTTAGTACGTCCAATAGGAAGGCATGAGCAGGGTTATGTATTTATTTCTAGTCTTTTGGAACGTTTCCAATTCGCATCTGGTGTAACAGAGATTCGGCGCACTGCTCGCGTCCATTGTGGATGAGGCCTAAAACACAGATGCGCGTTTTAAAACATTTATAAGTATAGAGACGTATTTGGAAATGTTCTATAACCATAGACAAGTGTTTTTTTAAATATTTTGGAACCAGATGTAATTCATGAAATATAAAAAACAAACGTTTTTAACCGTTTGTTTCAAACAACGAGTAACTGTATTATGTCATGTGTGTGCATATTGAAAATCATACTAAAGCCATTGAGAAAGTTAAAAAGCATTATACAATCAGGTATTTTCACAAGTATTATGTGAGACACATTGATTATTTTCTTCACCTTTTTTTTATTATTTTCTTAAATTTTAGTTTGTTTCTTTTTGGATTAATGTATGTTAATATTTTGGAATGTGACAACAAATGTTTATCTATTCTAACATTTCTAAAAAACATGGAATGCCTTCATTTATTTTATGTTAAACATATAAATTTTAATCCTTCGGTATGTGCTTAGGATAACTACATTTACCATAAAAGCCAATTTACAATTACCTTGGCAGGTATTTCGATTTTAAACCATTGGACCCTGAGCTCGAAGAGAGCCCAGAGCAAAATGTAATCGGGGATGTTCAGAAACTTATGTCTCTCTTCAACCCGCTGAAGATCTAGAGACAACTAACTAGTAACTATACTTAATAAAGTAAATGTTACTTAATGATGATATATTAACTCAAAACTCAACGAGGAAGAGGAAAGATGATAAGCAAAAGGCAAATCAAAACCCCCAATTTTGTTGCGGAAGGAAAACAGGAGTACCCCGAGAAAAACCCACTTTCACAACCCGGACGCCAAGTTATATACGTATATATAAATAACCATCACCAGTCTTCTCTACACTTTCATCTGAAACGGAAACACTACGTGGAAAATAACCTAGTTTGAAAAGGGAATGCAATCTGAAAACTCTTTTATAAATGTTCATTGCAAGCAAAACAGAAAAAAACAACAACAACTGTAAATCAAAGTTTAAAATTCTAAATAAAATAAATGTATTTCCTCGTTTCTTGTCTAGAACTTGTATACGTATGTGCTTTATTTGTTTTACTTTAAAACAAAAGATGTATTTGTTCTTAATAAGTATAGTAATCGGAATATTCTCCAAAATCATCTGATTTAAATTTGGTGGTTTAACTTGTTACAAAATCGAATTAATGAGGTAATAGTATCTTCTGTAATGAGCTTGAACAGGCAACTCACTGTTTTTCAGTTTCTCATGCAATAAATCAAAAAATCAAATAGCAATATAGTAGAACAACTAATGCAATCCCCCTTTTTTAGAAAGAATAAAAGCGCTGTTTGTTTTTGTTTAATTACTTAGATGAAATAAAATACTTGAATGTGATCCGTTGTTCCGTGTTCCTCTGCAATTCTCTCGCATGTTCTTCCTGATAAAAAGAAAGGCTGTCCGTCTGTGTTGTTCACTGACTTGAAACTTTCTTCGTTCTGGCTCATGCGTTGAAGTTGAAGAGCAACTGGAGTAGAAAAATCAAACGTACCTGGTACTGATAACAACGTTTTTGGTATTGCATTTCTGAAGAAACCCCGTCTTTTATTATCACTTAAAAGAAATTATCCAGCGATCAGTAGAATTTTCCACTGAAAACAAAAAACTGTAGATTCATGCAATATTTTAACATTTCGTTTCGAACGTAGAAAATAACGTAATTTTACACCACACTTTTGCAAACCGTAAATAAGTCGGGTGATGATTTTAATTAAACTACTTTGTAAATAACACTCTCTCCTAGATAATAATTAACAAGCATACGAGAAACCTTCTTAAAATATTACTTAAAATGTTGAATCTTTGCAATCTGCCAACATGTGCTGTTAATTTCTGAAAGGATTATCTTTAATAGCATGATTATTTATTCTAAGGTTACATCATATAAATAAATTCTAATCCTACTAAAAAAATACGTTTTGAAGTTTCAAGTGGAAATTTTGGTAGGAAAATGAAATACTTATTTTTGTTTCTACGGATTGCCAGAACAAAAGTTTTACCATGTTTATTACTCACCCACAGCTCGTCTCCGCAAGCGCTGTCTTCGTCGAATACAGCATGTTACAATCAGTATTATCAAAACAAGCACCAAAGCCCCACAAACCGCACAAGCCATCCACACCAGTCTTGAAATGTTTGCATCTTTGTCTTGTCCACCGTTAGTCACAGCCTTTGTAGAGTCCATTGAAGGAGTTGCTGCAGAGTGTATAGCAGTGAATCTTACACTCTGATTTTCATTTACGAAACTCATTTTACGCTCATATAAAACTAGAGAACTATATCATATGAAGAAAATCTGAAGCTGCCCTCCAGTTATCTACTATATAATAGAACCCATAGATGAAACTGGGCCAGAATAACATTGGAGCTAAGCAGATTAGTTTTTAATTTAATAGCTATACTGATGCTTTATTTCTGGTTAACAAAAAATACTTTCAATAATATTTAAACATTTTTCATTACATAAAGAAAAATACTATTATCTTTCTCCCTGATTGTTTTATGGCGGTTTACATGTGTTTCCAGTGAGATCATCTGCCTTTTCTGTATTTTGCTTAAAATAATATAATTACTTGAATATCTGTACGGCTAATACACAACATCTATACATACTTCACTTGTTACAAAGGATTATATAACCGTTACTGTAAAACGATTTCAGTTATGCATCGTTATTGTAAGGTGTTTATAAAAACTTTTTACACAAAAGAAAAAAAAATCGAAACAAAACAATCATTTCCCATATGTTTGTCTTTGTTAAAAATAAACACACTCTGGCTTTGACGAAAGTGTTTATTGGAGTTATATAGAACTTGCACACTTTGTTTGGACTTCACGAAATGTGATAAATTGTTCATAAAAATTACAATCGTCAGCATAACAACTGGTAAGCAAGTAATGACCGATTTTTATACTTATACCTGCTCGTAACTGAGGTTTATTATATAAGCTCACAATGTTTCAAGGTAATTTTAAGATCCTTTTATTACGCGAAATATTTACTTGTGTGAATAGCTTTTCTGTTGTTGTTTTAAATGTGTAAAAACTAAAATCTGTCATGTAAACATCATGTACACATCATGTAAACGGCGATGTAAAAATGTTTTGAATCCATAATAGTGTTTAATAATTTGGTATTTTATTATTGCAATTATTTATTGTACATTTCAAAATGCCCTTAGGATTGCTTTATATGTTACGTTGTGTTTTTTTCTTTGAATGCATCATTTAATATATTTATACCACGTAATTCCCTATTTCGTAATATTTATGTTTGTTTGTTTTTTTGTAATTTCGTGCAAAGCTACACGAGGGCTATCTGCGCTAGCCGTCCCTAATTTAGCAGTGTAAGACTAGAGGGAAGGCAGCTAGCCAACTCTTGGGCTACTCTTTTACCAACGAATAGTGGGATTGACCGTAACATTATAACACCCCCACGGCTGAAAGGGCGAGCATGTTTGGTGGGACTGGGATTCGAACCCGCGACCCGCAGACTGCGAGTCGAGCTTCTTAACCACCTGGCCATGCCGGGCTAATATTTATGAGAATATATATTTTTTTTCTTTTGGGTGTATCAATTCAACAGAGCAAAACAAACACATGTTACATAAATCACCTATTTCATTTGACAAGAGTTGTCTTATTCTGCTGTATTCGTGATGTTAAGGCCATAATTGTTTGTAACTGAAAAATAATTTTGTATATAACACTCTACTTAAAGACTTTCAAACGCTGTAAATAAAGTCTTGGGCTAGTATTTTCAAATACTTTATAAATGTTACTCAACATGTATTACCCGTTGAAATTTGGGCGAGTTTTTAATAAGGTCATTCCACTGTAAATACAGAAAAATGCAGTTACAATATTCTAAATATTAGGTACCTCATTTTGTAATAAATTTCTTGCTTATAATGGAGTTAAGCGGAAGACTGTAATTCATTTGAAAAGTTTTCCTGACGTGACCCATCGTTGTTGTTTTGTTTTTTATCTCGCGCTTGAGGGCTGCGTTTGAATATGCTAGGAAAAACATCCATCTTCCTAAAATATGATAACTACCGTTAAAACATAAAGAGGTAATTCTCCAATTTGAGAAAATGTAAATAAATTTGGCTAAAATACTTTAGAAGAAGTTTAGTAAATTTCGTAATATTATGAAAATAATTGAAGGTTGTTTTTGAAATAGATAATCGTAACTCCTGTTCATGTTTAAAGATGAAATTAATAATTTTTTCCCCAAAATCCTTGGTTGTTTGAACGGAGATTTTTATGTTGAATGTTTTCTATATGTTTTATAAATTACACATTATGCAGTTTTTATATAGTGAGTTGCACAATGAAATAAACTGCACGAAATGGAGCAGTTGTTTCAATATCCTTTTATAGTATGTCAGATATAAATTACTGCTCAACTTCAAGATGATTCTTGCGGTTTTTGTTTACTTTTAGATTTTACTTGCCTTATTACTTTTTTTTTTGTTTATTAAAAGCTTAACATAATAAGTTAATAATCCACTTCTAGACCTAATCTCGAACACGATATCTAAGAACCATAAAATTTTTGACTTTGTAAAAAGGTTTTCTCCAATGTTTCTCCGGAGAACAGTGAATCTCTGTGAAAAGCCTGGACTCCAAGATATTACAGTTGAACTACAAATGGCATTGGAAACTCAAATATTCTGGTAGAGGTTACAAGACATATTTTAAGGAGATAGCGAAAAATAAAACTATTTAGATATCAAAGCAGGAAAGTTATTATTTTTGAAAGCTTGAGCTTAAGATTTAAAATTTCTAGAAAACCGTGTGTTTACTTATACGTTGGAAACAAGGATTTCCCTTGTTTCTTATTTTTCAAGTTCAACCAGTAAAAACACAGTTTCTAATTCAATAACTATAATCTAATAAGAGTAATAAAACTGCATTTTTCATATTTTACGTAATCTACCAAGTATACGAGTTTCTGGAAAGTATGTACAAAACATTTGCCTTCGTTACTGAATTTTCTAATGAAAAAAAAAAATGTTGCTTTTAAGTGAAGGGTTTCGAATTGAATCTCCTGTTGAGTGTTTTATACATTATTCATTCCGAAAATTATTTTGCTCTGTTGAAAGCAAATTTTGTAAATATCAGTGATCCATAAAATAAATCAAATAATAAATATAAAATAGAAACGACCCATTTTTGGGTATATCAGTTGAAACAAGGACTAATGAGTACTCACTGGACGTTACAATTTCCACAGTGGCTGAAGAATACCCTAAGTAATTCTCCGCTCGGCAAGTATAATTTCCAAAAGTCAAAGTTTGCACATTTTTGATGTGAAGAACGCTTGTCCATAAAGTATGTTCATTCTTTCGAAAATCCACCTTGTAGTTTGAGTTAGTTGGCATCCAGTTAATTATTTGAGTTCCCAGATACCAAGTAATTGTAACGTTTGGCCTAGCGTCTACTATACAGTTAATAGTAACTTCTTCATCGTTTTTGGAGGCAAATTTCGTTTGTTTCAAAGGTTGAAGGATTACTGGCCTGTCTATGGCAGTAACAAAAAAATAAAAATAGAACTTTTTATAATCAACCCTTAATATGTCGTTTTTTTGTAATTGTTTATCTATAAAATATTTTTAATTGTTCAATTAGATTAAACCTGATTTAGACGTGTGCAAACTTAACCTAAAATTAACTTTAGTTTATTTAACGACTTTTAGTTTGTTTGTGTAAATATGCACAACAGGCTATGAACTATTCAAACGCCGATTAATCTGTTTACGTTAACATGAATAGCCAAACACAACATTACTTAATAGATGTAAACTACATAATTTATTGGAATCAATTATTTCGTATGTTTTCGCAATAGCAATATTTTAATTCAAAACAGTGTTGGATAAATAAAATTCTTAGCATTTTAGAAGGACCATAATATGTATCTTGATCTAGACATTATGATAGTAATAAATAAAATATAATAATTGATTATAAAATTATTATTATTAACTAAAATTAAAATCCATGTTGTAAAGTTTGAAATATGAACAACATTGTAAATAGAACCTTTCAAAATTGTCCGGAATCGAATAGTTTTCATAAAACATTGAAGTTTAATATTTTATTTATCTCTTCATCTTCATCTGGATTCTCATCTTCATCTGGATTCGGTCCATGTTTTTGGACCAGGGAGGGTCAGGTTCAGCGTAGACCTGAGTTTTAATAATATACATCTGATTGGTTTGTTGTGGATTTCCCGCAAAGCTACCCGATGGTTATCTGCGCTAGTCGTCCCCAATTTAGAATTGATAGATTAGAGGGAAGGCAGCTAGTCAACACCGCCCACCGCCAACTTTTGGCGAATTTGACTGTCGCTTTATAACGGCTGAAAGGGCAAGCATGTTCAGTGAAGGGGCTTTGAAGCCACGACCCTCAAATTGCGAGTCGAGTGCCCTAACTACCGGGCATAAAGATCTTAAGTACTATCATACAACAAATTAATGTAAGTTTTTCTTCACGTGATTATAAAATTACTGTAACTCGATCTTTAAATTGCATTATCTTACTGTCAACCATTGTTATCACACTCACAGCTTACATTTTATCGGTAATAGACTGAGAACAAAATGTTCCAATCCAATTGTAACTAAGAAACATTATGGATCAAAATAATGTTCTTCAGTAATGTTTGGAATAACTTACAGCAGTTAATAGAAGTTAACACAATAACTAATTCGCTATCCTATTAAAAGATGTGTATGATAATTAAACAATTCTTTTGGATAATAATTGGACTTGCTACTCACACATCACAGCAACTTCCACGTTCATAATATCTCTTTGACCGATCCCATTATAAGCGTTACATTCATATATTCCCGCCATTTCTTTAGTCACTTTGAAAAGTTGCAGGAGTGATCTACCCAACACAAAAGACTTGCTAGGGAGTTTGGTTTTCGTCCCTTGTTTTTTCCATTCCACTGTTTTGTAGGTTATAGGATTTGCTTCTATCCAACATTCCAGAGTCACGTTCTCTCCTTCGTCAATCTTCCGATTCTCAGTAAGATTCAGAATAACAGCTGGATCTGAAATATATGTTCATCTAAAAAAAACATTCCATGGTTTCAGAAATATTCCAAATACTTATTTACTAACACTACTAAATACTTGCGTAAAACAAAAAGGTAGGTTTTCTAACTGTCCCGTATTTATTGCTATCATGCATCATTTAAACACTTTGTGGTCTTAAACACATACATTTCCACCAGTTGGTTGTTGTATTTCAGAATCGAAAAATTTTAGGATTAGTGGCATATTATGAAATTATTGTAAGCCAACAGACCTAGCTTTTGTAATGGACATATAAACAGGAATATGGAAAGAAAACACGGGATTTTTATCACAAGAGCTAGACCTATTGGTTTCCTGTGATACAAGAGAATTAGGCGTTTCGACTGTAACTTTTAAAGTAAAATAGTGCACATATGTATACATAACGTTTCAGCGAAACATTTGAATTTCATCGTCCAGCTCAACTGTCAAGTTTTGATATTAGACGAAAGTACTCTTTGGTAATGATTTATGAGAGACAAAAGACAAATCTAAAACGCTATTTTTATACGCCTCTGATTTGGAATTCGGAATGGACAAATCAAGAAAAATGTGAAGAAAAAACTTCTGTAGTTTACATGATTTTTATCACAAAAGCTAGGTTTAATGGTTTCCATTGTTTCACAACTTTTGATGTTTAAACTGTAATTATGTAATATATCTTCTCCTTCGAAAAGTCTCTACTTTGAATCTTGATTTCAGACATCTAGTTATTATCCTGAACGTAAGAGGGTGTATATAAAACGGTTATTTATCAATAAAAACACATATTACCATTCTACGAGTTTTAACTTAGAAATAATAATTGAACCATATTCAACTCCTACACAAAACATTGAACTCTACTGTTGCATTCGCTGATCCTTGCGTATTCTCTGCTATACAGTGGTAGCTTCCCGAATATTTCCGTGTTGTAGCTTCTAAGTAAAGCACAGGTCCTTTCGCTCTCATCATAATATGATCATTTTCTTTAGTTAGCATCTTCTCCTGGTCAGGAATTCGAACACCACCACGAATCCAGTAGTATCTGACTACGCTCGGATTACCTGTAGCTGTCATGTTGACAGTTACTGACTCCCCTTCTAAGATAGCCACATGCTTTAGCGGCTCTGCGAATTCCGGTTTGTCTGAATGAAAAAAATAAGGGAATCCATTGGACTGTTGAAGTTGTAGGCTCACTTTCGACTAGAAAGCTTATTTTCCATATCTCACTATCTCAAGCGTCAGTTTATATGTATATTTATATATCTGTTTTAAGTACTATAATTGTGGAATAAGAAAAGCCAAATGAGACCTTAAATTACCGGATTGTGCCATTAAAGACAAATAATTGTTTTTTATATTTATATACTTTTATCTTTCTAGTTTAACAACAAATGACTTGTAACTGTTTTACTAGTTACAAGTAGACATATATAATATAAACACCTCGATAAAGTAACATGGAATATAACGATACTTACAATATAATATCTTGCTACTAGGCATAGCATAATGGTGTATGGATGTGTGTTGTACTTTGTTGTTTAATCAGTTATTATCAAATAGTGTCTGTTATACTTTACGCTTTCCTGATTACGACACCTAGAGGTATACATGAATACTGTGGTTTATGATCTATGATTTTTCATTAATATATTATGTAGTGGTGAATGGTATACCTAACCCACAGCTATTGAGTAGGCCTCACAACACCTAGCGGTATACAAGAATTTTGGGGTTTATGATATATTAAAACCTAACGTACAACTACTGAGTAAACCATATAACACTTACCATTATACATAAGTAACATAAGGAGTCACGTGGTGCTGGAAAACTTCTAATGTATACTACAATTAGAAATATTCGAACGAACAGCATTCAAAGTAGTTTTCTAATGTTGTTCTAGTGAACTACTTAGTTATTGTTGTTGCTTTCTAAGTGAAAAACTACACAATACGCTATTAGTATTCTGTCCACAGCGAGGAATCGAATTTCGAATTTTTGTGTGGTAATAACTGGTTACTGTGATATTGCTTATTTTCTATTATATTTGGAAAAATGTTACTACTAACCACGTTCAGAGACTTCAGTTTTTATGCATTCTAAGCAATGATGACAAACTTTAACATTGTGGCCGTAGATTTAACGTTACATCTATAGATTTATGACTCGACAACATCGTGTTAAGGAATACATTATTCTCAAAAATGGTATATATTGATTTAGTGTTGCTTATCATAGGGTCTATCGATTTAATATTCTTTACCATCTTTTCCATGAACTTAAAATTTTGGTTTGTCACAATTTCTGATATGTAATATGTGGTGACGGGCAAGTTCATCGCCAAGAAGTGAAAACATGTGTTAGAGACATGCACATTTTATGACCTGTACAAGAAAATCTGGAATTTTTGTTTATTTAGTTAATCTCGATATATATTATAATATCGACTTGGTTTATTCTTAGGTTTCACTTTGTAGATTTATTTTTGAATAACTGTACATATTGTACTTTTATGTTTTATATATATATATATAAATATAATAAATACACATAACATATGCGCTCTACTTGGTTGTCTACAGTCCACACAATCATAAGTCCCATTAATCATTTGTGACGAAACAAGATATTGTTTCTCATACTACGGTTATGATTAAATTGCGGCTCACTAATCATCTTACTAGGTCAGTATCTGTCCTCCGCTTGGGGTGCCACGACAGGTGGCGTTCAATACAATTGTAATAATGGTAACTGCAAGTGGCAATGATTAGAACAACATACTTTAATCAACGATGGAAGGCGACAAGTCCATGTGCATGCACTACACTACAACAACGAGTAATTTGTTTGCGTTTTACTCTCTAGTCATTGAAGTATCAAAATGGAAAATCAACGTGATAATACGAGGCCCCATATTATTAGTCATGTAACAACTGCACTCGTGAGGTTGAGATAGAGAGACTTTCCTCATATCTTATATAGTTGTACACTAGAAAACTGTGGTTGTAACCTTTATTAGTTATTTTCAAGGATGTTTCGTGCAAACAACACATTCAGACAAATGATTCACTGAAATTTGCTGTACAAAATTTAATTCCTAACTCTTCACCAGTATTTTACCGAAGCGACATATTGAAGATCACGGAACGATAGTGTTCCAGAATATACAGTACTTAACAGGGAATACATTAAAAAATGAACTTTGTTTTCAACATTTTCAACACTAGTGTGGTACGTTTATTGGTTGTAAACTGATATGAATGGGATAAAACAATAAATACAATTCCATTTCATTTTAAGCACCCGTCATAAGTGGTAACAACTATTGGGCAAGAAAACAAGAAGTATACCAACACAAAACTGAAAGCCTATAGTCGTCTCGAGCAGCACTATCAGTGATACCATTGGACGCTATACACGTGAAAGTTGCGCCATCATCAAGTGACGTAGGGTGCTGTTTGAGTGAACTGGTAGTAGAATAACCTCCAAAGCTGGCATCCACAATCTCGACGTGATTGCTTAATACTTTGTGTCCCTTCTTCCACCAAATAATCTGTGCTGCTGGATTGCTGCTGTCAGTAGAACATTTTAATGTCATCTGAAGAGAAACACCAGATTACCTGTTTTTTATATGTATAGATGTTTGTTTGTTTGGAAATGTTAAACTGGTCAACTATTTAAAAACTGAGATAGAAATTATTACAAGAATCAAATAAACTGCAATGTGGTTAAATCAACCCTTCACAGTTATTTTCAATCAATTACCGGGATGTTTATCAAAACTAAGAATTAGTTTTGAAACTTAATTATTTGTTTGAAAATTCTCGATTATGAAGGTATGAATAATCTTTAAAAATTTAGTTTCAATATAGTTCTATATAATAAACTATTTGTTCTGTTTTACGTATATTTATTAAATATTGACTAAAGTTTCTGAAAAAAACTTGAAACTCAATCGTCTTTTTATTTGAGTTGACCAAAATAAAAGCATGTTTCAAGTTTCTTAATTCAGTTGCTGTTCAATAAATTATACATATATGTATATCAATACAATTATGCCTGTAAAATATACACATGTTACATAACTTAAACATATTAACTGTTACTTACAAACAATAATTCCTTTGATACAAGTGGTATCAAGAACAGAGTATTAGTTATACAGAATCATTAATTATGAGTTACTTTATTCTTATTTACTTGTTTTCTGAGTTGGAACTAGCGTAATGGTTGGCGTTCTTGGGTTGTGAATCAGAGTATTCATACTTCTTGGCTCATTGCCGCAAAAATGTGCTCCAAGCTTTGGGGTCATAAATGTATTATAAGAGTGACGGTCAATTCTACTTTACGAGTAGAGTAGGCCAAAAGATGGTGGTGGATAATGTTGACTATATATCTTTCCCCTAGTCAATATGTTCAAGTCTCATAGCGCAATTAACATTTGTTCAACTTTGCGCGAATATATGAAACACAATAAACCGAAGTTACTTGCCCTATGAAGTTTAATATTTCTATAAAGATTTTCAGCTATTAAAGCCCCCCCAGTGGCACAGCGGTGTGTCTGCGGACTTACAACGCTAGAATCCGGGTTTCGATACCCGTGGTGGGCAAAGCACAGATAGCCCATTGTGTAGCTTTGTGCTTAATTACGAACAAACAAACAAACAGCTATTAAAGGCCTGACAATGCTCGACTCACAATCTGTGGATTACGGGATTGAAACCTTTTGTCAAACATGCTCGTCCTTTCAACTTTGGGGCCGTTAATGTGACAGTCAGTTGCACTATTCGTGGATATAAAGTACCCCCAAAGTTGGTGGTGCTGACTAGCTGCTTTCCTTCTAATCTCTGACTTCAACATTGGGGACGGCTAGCGTAGATAGCCCTGGAGTAGCTTTGCGCGAAATTCAACAAATAAACACGGTTTTATCAAAATGTATTTTTCCATGGTGTTAAGAACATGTTCAATAAAACAATGTGATGTTTCCATAATAAACTAATTTACATTTTCTCTCTGTAGTGAATCGATAATATTATGAAAATGTTCAAGATACTATCAATATATTTTCATTTATTGATTTTATTCAAGGAAATACTTTTACTTCTTGTTTGTTTACTTCTAGTTAATCAAAAAGCTACACAAGGAATTATCCGTGTTCTGCCTATTCGCAAATATACCGCTTTACTTCTTGAAACAAATTAAATTTTACTGGTAGTGTTACTATTTAATATTTTATTTCTAGCTCTCTTTAAAACATTTCGCGTCTTAATTTCTTTATTATTTTGCAATTTATATATATATACAAAGCATTAAACTGTGCGCAGAAATATAAATTGCATTTTATAGCACTGCTGAGATGAAATTATTTTGTTGTAAAAACTTAAAATCTATTTCCAAGAGTTAAGATGAAAAACAAGACATTTTCCTAGACAAAAGTAACCTATACTTTCCAACTATGTATACAATTCAATTTGATAAATACTTGTTTCTAAATCTTTTTGTGTATTAATCTTTATCTTAATTATGAAATACTTTCGTAAAAAAATTAAATACTTAGGTTTTTTATAATTTGCAAAGAAGAAACTTTAAATAGGATCATTTGTTCTTATTTAAATATTACACGATGTAAATTGATTGGGCAATATACAAATAGCCAACGTCGTCTATGAATATTAACGAAGCTCTATTATGTCGGTATATTGGTTTGTTACATCAACGTCAATTCCTTATGAGCTATGATAGTATTACAAGTTATTGATATGTTCATTGATTTAAGATTTATGAAGATATAAACAGATATTTCACAACAGCGTGACAAGTTTACAAAATTACCTCTTCTCCAGCCCTGGGCTGTGTTGGTTGTACAATGATGGTAGCATTTCCAGGAGGAACTATGCACATGAAATCAGTTTCTTTAATAATGTAATATAATTATATATCATAGTAAAAAACATTTCACATAACAATCAAATAGGCGTTACTAATTTTTGATTAAGATTAAAAGACTAAATAATGCTTAATAAAGAAAAAGCAACTTTCAAAGAACCTTCGGAAAAATTATGAAATGATTTATGTTTACACTATTCTGCCTAAATATATATTAAGTATGTCTTGAGCATGTTTACACTATTCTGCCTAGATATATATTAAGTATGTCTTGAGCATGTTTACACTATTCTGCCTAGATAGATATTAAGTATGTCTTGAGCATGTTTACACTATTCTGCCTAGATAGATATTAAGTATGTCTTGAGCACTGATCTAAATTACACACTCTGGATAATATTATGGATAATATTAGGGAATCCAACAAAATAATAAATATATATATAATGTTATAGTATGATAAACAAGTGAAATGCCTTTAGTTTTGTCATCTTTGCGATCTTATTGATTCGATTCAAATATGCGCAAATTTTCTAATGCTAAAAAATGTCCTTGTACTTACATGTAACAGTAATTTGCATGGAGGCTTTAACAGGTTGAGTGGTGGCGAGGTTGCTAGCCTCACAGCGATAGATGGCACCGTTATCTTCCCGTCTTGCTTTTATTACGAGTTTACTTGAAACACCACTTCCAGTAACACGGGAAACTGTGCTTATCTAATATTGTTTTAAAATCCCATGTATATCTAATCAATCCTTTTTATCGTTTCGTAAATAAAATCAGGCTTATAACTAAGTATGCATCGTAAAAAACAACAACAAAAAACAAAACAAGAGGGATAATGAGAGTAAATCTTAAAATTCACAATTAAATATTCATTACACTTAAAGTTAGTTTACGTTTTGAGTATTGTCCGCAAGCTTAACATTCGACTCATATATTTTCATAGCTGGTGACAGTAAAGATTTTTGTATTAGTAGTCCCATTGTGTCAAGTTATTTTAGTCCGAATTATAAATAAACATAAATAAAACGAAATTAATTCACAACTAAAATCTAATATAGTGTTCTATTCCATATCTGTGAATTAAATATACATTGAAAACAAAACAAATAAACCAAAATAACACTGTGATAAGAAAAGTTCTACAGGAATACAGTCGAAAAGTTCAACTTGCTTTCAAGTTCCCATACCAAAAACGCTAAAATTATAAATTAATGTGTCTAATTAAATTGTTTGATTTATTTTTCTTAGGGGCTTACCTCCATGGTTGCTTAGCGGTAAGCCTGAGATCTAACAACACTAGAAATCTAGATTCGATATTCGTTGTGGGCTCAGCAAATATAGCCCATTGTGTTGCTTTGTGCTTATCAACAAACGAACAAAACAAAAATTATGGGTTTCCCAAACACGTATGTGAAATCCAACTCTTCAGCAATTCTTCCAACAAAATTCAAGCTAAAGTTCATGAGCATAGACACACACAAAACCAAGAAAAATGGCAAGGGATTTTACTTAAAGGTATATTATTTAAATTTCCAGTTTCATCTGAAGTCCTTGTTGGCGTATTAACATGACATGCTATAATAGAGAGCGAAAATTTTGTATTTCCTACAGAATCAATTATTTAATCTTCCATTCTACATTTTAAGTATTATACTTCAATTTATAATTAAAATGTTGTGATAGTTGTAGAAGTTGATTTCTTACTGCAAAGCTACACAGTGGGCTATCTGAACTCTGTCTACCACGGGAAATCAAATCTCGAATTTTAGAATTCTATGTTTATAAATTTAATGCTGACCCACCGGGGATCTATGTGATAGTAAAAAGATATGGATATACATTTTCCCGTGTTTTATATTTTCATTAGCGTCGTTACAAGATTTTACTGTTTAACAAGTGCCAGTTGGCTCAGTTGTAAACTTGTCGGCTTTAAACACTTATAACTGAAACACGCGGTGGCACAGCGCAGACAGCCCATTGTGCAGTTTTGTGCTTAAGAAATAACAAGAAAGGAAAGAACCTCTTTGACAAAAACATCGGTATAGACGTTTCTTTAATAATACGTTTAAAGATAATTTTCGAAGATTTGTTTTATTATATGTAAATAATTTTCTAGTTTTCGAATATGTGCATAAGGATTTGAATAATGTATAAATCACGCCCTGTACACTGAATGACTCAAGCATTTATCCGTTTAAACCGTCGTTACACTCCAATAATGTCTCATACAAGTTTAAAAACATGCACACCTGTTTCGTGCCTCGATACCACTGAAGAGAAGCGAGGGGGTTGCCTCCGAGTGAAACACAGTCAAATCTCCTGATGTTGCCTGCTTGCATGGTTAATCCTTCTGAATAGCCAACTATTGTAGGTGTTCCAGGAGGATCTACAACACCAGATATACTAATATTGAATTATTTTCTACATAACATAAAAAAATTAAAGTAGCAGGAACACTTCGCCAGTGTCAGAAAATATGTAAAAAATACATAACGTTCTCGAACATTAATTTACCTAGGAATAGCATAAACGTGCTTTTCAGAAACAAGATAACTATTTCCTATAGGCGTACCATAGCTCAAATATATTAAATCTCTCTTTAAAAATAATTTCTAGCAATTAAACAGTAACTTTGAAAACGGAAACAATTTAAATGTTATACATCACAATAATAAAACGTTTACTTAAAAGGTAGTAAAACGGATAAGAATTCCTCCTACAACAGGCAAACATTAATGATAATTTTAGTTTCTTTACGTGATTCACACGATCACAAAACTGTGTCATTCAGTCTTAATGTGTGAAAAGAACCTTTTTTTTCTTTCCATAATTGTTTATATACATATATATTCTTACTGTAATAGTACAGAGGTCTCTGAAGGTTATATTAAAACGACTTTGAATATGCAAATAACCAATTAACGTGACAACCACAGATGATGTAAAGTTTATATCGAACCGGATATACCAGATCTACATGTTAAGATTTGATTGTATTTCAAAAATTGATCATTGTTGGGAAGGGCATGTAACAGTCCTTTAAGACACAAGACATATATATATATGTATAACTCAGTTAGTAGAGACCTGTTGAGATTGTGGGATATGGATGAACTTGGGGCACCAGGACTATCCAGAAAGAGACCTGAAACAAGTCATACTACAGGTGATTTACTAAATAATTGTAAGATGAGAATCCACGAATACAAGGGTCAATGGCAAAATTCATACACATGTCTTAGCCAAAATAACGCAAAATAATCATGAAAATTATCCATCTAGAAAAGCGACCCAAATCACAGAGGTATGGTATTCTTGAATATTCTGACTTGCTTTACATAAATCGATTAGATTCCACAGAATAACAAATGTTCCACCAAAAAATGTATTACACGTCAAATATCTTAATTCTCCGATCTCAGTTAGAAGAAGTTTCAGTTTCAAGTTTGTTTAAAGTTAAACATATATCTACACAATGGACTATCTGTGTTCTGCCTACCACGGATATCAAAATTAAAATAAGTGTATTTTGTGAGCACCTTTACTGGTGAGCTGTCTAGTGTATCTTAAATCTATCTAGAATTAAAATGATATATTATATTCCAGACTGAAAAAAGTTGTCATTATATATGTAGATCAACAATTTCATTCTTCTAAGGATGCAGGTGCTACCAACGTGAATAACGGCCACTCTCACTACAAAATTTGATATGTCGTATTCTTGAGGAATCACCTTACAGGCCAGTGGAAAATATCACTGTCTTTGCAAGAATATTTCTCATGAGAATGTGCTTGTGATACCCTAGTCGAATGACCCAGTTTAGTGGGTAACCAAAACGAGAGACACTTAATGGCTCCATTGACTAACATTGTGCAGTAAGAATATAAGTGCAAAATATACAAAAGTCATATTAGTAGAATATTAGGGTAGGAAACAAGTAGTATGCCTGCATACCACACATGTACACAAATTGCTGCTCGGATATATCCATCCAAACATCACATACCTCAAACAACTGGAGAATGAAGCCAATATTTGTGGTATTCCATGAAATACATACCAGTCAAGCCACCAATTACAGTGAACATGGTTTTCTGTGAGATTGGACTGTAGAAATGGGCGCTGGAGTACCGTATTCCTCGAGGGATCCTCAAGGGGGGGGGTAATGGTGTACTTTGGGCAAGACAGCCTAACGACAGAGCCTTTAACAATGAAAGATACACTGTAGGAATATTGTCAAGATGCATGTTCGTCAAATAGAACATGACTGGACGTAGGTAGACGAAATGTAGCGGCACGGTGGGACTACAGAATCGTTTTAATATAACGTAGTCAACCAATATTATAGATAAGTTTAATAATTAACAGACAAATGAAAGATAAGAGTAAATATGTCCTAAAATCAGCAAATTTAATATAAAACTATTTTGCTTGTTTATACAAGCTAGTCTAATTGTTTGTTTAAGCACATTTCCACATTTATCTAAAATTAAGTAGTGTTCTGTATATTTTGAAGGATAATGTGAGAATTTGTTTTCAGTATTGATTTTGTGCTTCAAGTTGTAATGCTTCTACGTGTAATGTAAGTCTTTACCTACTTATCTAAATTTTTTCTTTTTAACCATCCGATTGATGCAGGCATATCAGTATTGTCAGATGCTTGTAATGCTACTGAGAAATGATAATCACTGTGGGTTGAAGCTATAAGCTAATCGTTATAGCACCAAACAGCTGTATCTGTCTTTACGTTCCAAATAACAAGCAAGCTTGCCCCAAATCATTTCAGATGTCTGCCGACAAATGTATAAGTTAAATGTTTGTAGTTTCAATCTCTTATTCTTTTTACTGAATTTTTAAGTTTTAGGCTAAATATTTATAAACTGTTTGGCTGAGCGTGCTCGGCTGCGTATCAAAAAGTCAAAAGTTCGAGCTTACTATATGCAGCTGAACAAACTAGGTCCTTTCTGCTGTAAGTGCATTACAAAAGTGACAATCCTCCCTGCTACTCGGTTAAAGATAGCTTTGCAGGCTGAGGATTCCACTGACTAGTTACGTTCTCTTTTTGTTCATAAAATTTTCCAAATTAGGGACGGTTATCCCTGGACCATGTGGGATTCTGACTTGGCCGTTTACCCCAGATGTTACAGTAAGGTTTCGCTTATGTTTAGCACAGCATCAGAAACAACTGATATTATCCTTGATGTATTTCACTTCCCTTTATAAGTCAAGAACATCCATAAAAAAAAGGTAAAATAGACATAAACCCCATACTTTATACAAATTCACGGTTCTTTTTTTAATTCTCAACAAACGAGACAACCTGCTGGTAGTAAAATGTGTTACTGTTTCGAATCAGATAAATATATCTTTTATAATTGATTTAGATTATATCAATTAATGACTCGGAATTTGTATGTACCGTATGTATGATTAAGTTTTATTTGTGAGAAACAGAAGGAGAATCTACAAGCACTGTTTGAATGAAATCTAATTGTAATTGAATAGGCCTAAAATGTGTGATAAAAACCACGTTAACTGCAAAGGTTTGGTTTTTAGACATAACATGAGTTTTATCAAATTTTAGGCTTACTGGTTTCTAAAGCTTCGCCATGTTTTGGCGTAATTGTAAGTTAGTTTCTCACTAAGCGAATATAATATCATGTAAATACTTTACCCTACAACTGAGAGAAATAAAAATCTTAATAAATGTTGACACAGATTTAATACTGGTGCATTTTTGACTAAAATATTACTGTATGACAAACTAGAAATATCTATTATTAAAAAAGGCTCCTAGTGGCACAACAGTATGTCTGCAAACTTACAACGTTAGAATCCAAGTTCCATTCATGGTGAGCAGAGCATAGATAGCCCATTATTTAGCTTTGTGCTTAATTCCAAACAAACAAATATATTTGCTGCTATGTTAAACTTATATTAAAGTTTTTCTTCATCACCCATTCAAGCCGTCTCCAAGCATTATTAAACAAATCTATTATTACGCCGTGCTACGTGCTTTCACTCACAACTGTGATGTAAACAATGAAGCCAAACGGTTGTTGCTGTTTCGTTTCGTGCCTTATATTCATCAACAAAAACCCACTTCTTTTGTAATGATTTGGCTTAGAACGTACTAAGGTAACTAAAATAATGTTACTAAGATTCAGCTGTAGTTGAATAACGAAAAATAATGTTAAATAGTTTAGAAATTCGGTTTGAAACTAAAACGAAAAACTGTTGTTGTATTTCACTGAAAATTTTTATAGCGAACTACTGTTTTATTTTCTATATTTTAAAAATGTTTATAATATTTATTTATAAAAGCACTAACCTTGTAGCCATATCTCTTTGCTAAGGGTATTTTGATTATTTAATTTTTATGTTGTGTATTTGAAGTACTTTTATTCCTTAAATTTCATTTTACATTTTTGGTCGTTCTATGAAACTTCGTTTTGCGTTCAATCTTTGAATTTTCAAGAAGTATGACTGACTTGCTCTATGACAAAATTGTAGGCGTAGAAGTGAAACACCTAATGTATTTATATAATGTTTTCTGGGTATGAAGTTTCGTGACCATCTTATGTTTCGGTTAATGTTATTTTTACCTTTCTGCTCCCCTCTGGCACACTGGTATGTCTGCGGACTCACAAAGTAGAAACAGGGTTTCGATACCCGTAGTGGACAGAGCACAGTAAGTCCATTGTATAACTTTGTGCTTAACTACAGACAAACAGACTTTTTTACGTTTCTAATATAATATTGTATAAATTCAGATACACTGTTTAGGTCTCACGTTTGAATGAAATATATTGTTTCTATTTTACAACACAATTACTAGACATTCATTTATTAATTACGAAAATAGGCTGAATACACTGTGATAGTGCTTGAAGTTGGAGGAAAGAGATTTTTCTTCATTACCCATTCAAGCCGTTTCCAGCCATTATTAGTCTCAAAGTGGGTTCCTCGTTATCGAAAAAGTTAAAGTTTCGTAATTTATAAAATCAAAAATTGATTGAAGTGACATATATATATATATATATATATATTCAATATCATAAGTCAGACAGATGAAAAGTTAGTGTGACATCTTAATTTATAAAATTACTTAATATATAATCTTAATTATTATAGCTGTCGTAACAACACGGAATTAAACGAAGAATTATTTTGCATTTCGTTTTCAGTTTTAAATGCCCTCTAGTGGCACAGCGGTATGTCTGCGGACTTACAACGCTAGAAACCGAGTTTCAATACCCGTGGTGGGCAGAGCACAGATAGCCCATCATGTAGCTTTGTGCTTAACTTCAAACAGTTTTAAATCTTTCACGTGTAATCAACTTTTGTATTTTTAGCTAAGGGTCGGAATAAGATAGTTTGGATTCCGCAAACTATGTTTTGGAATACTTAATTGTGCCCTCCCCTAGTGGCTGAGCGGGAAGGTTGAGGACCTTTAACGCTAAATATCAGGTTTCAATACCCGCAGTGGATAGCGCACTGTGTAGATTTGTGCTCATCATTAAGGCTGAGTGTAAGACGGTTTAGAGTATAATCTGAAATATTGGATTAAGAACAACATATATATATATATCCAGAAATATATATATACATATATATATCACACCTTTTGAAAATTGTTTTGTTGTTACAACTATCATATTAACATACAATTTTTAAGCATATTTGCTCTGATCCAGCCTTTTCTAACCAAATTATCTGCATGATCTTTCCAGTTTAATTTCCTCACACATATTATCTCAAGGTATTTATCTGTATGAATTGGTTTCATAATGTCATTAGAGATTTAGTAGTAGCATAACTTAATTTAGATAAGGGTTTCTGATTTATATGCGTTATGAAAATGATAAACTAAGTTTTATTGAATTGATGATAATATTCCATAAATTATACCATAATTCAAAATGAAACTAGGCTTAACTTAAATTTTGTGTTATAACAAAATTTTCGTAGAGAAAGTCCGCTATACTGGCAATGTTTAAATGTTTATAGTGAATAACAAGACAGGATACATCATTAGTTCAGATTAAGTGATAATAGAGTAAGAATAGTATCTCAAAGAAAATTATCCTTTGCAATACAAAAGATGAAACTGACATTATTAATAAAAAATTTAATTTACAATAAATTATTTGGCTACTTATTTATACCATATGGTAGCAGAAAATAATGCACACGTTTAAATGTTATGTTAAATTGCGTGGTATTCTTGTTCTACATTTGGAAAACAGGTATCTGTAGCTTGTATATAATTCAAATTGTTTATAAACCTAACTATGTACTCATATTTTTATGGTTTCTTTTATACAAAACAATTGATGCTCATTTAACATTTTATTTATTTCAGGATATTTAAGTACTTTCTTATACAAATTTATATAAAAAGTACAGCTAATTAAACTTATGGGTTAATAAGTTGAACGAGAAGTTTTTCTCTTATTTGTTTTTGATATCATGGTGACGATGTTGTATTTCCATACATTTATGGAAAATAAATTGATTTAAAAGATGTGGTAAAATGATTTACAAACTGTGGTAGATATCCTGAGAATATTTTTGTGACACAATACATTGTGTTTTATCTTAATCAGGTATTTTGAATTATCTGAAAGTGAACTTTAATTCAAAAAATAAAGTTGAGATAGTTATAATTAATGTTAATATGATTACTGTTAATATCATTAATACTAACAGTATTAAAACTAACTCAGGAATCTCTTACGATTTTCAATTATTTCATTTATATAATGGAATAATTTGTTGTTAACTTTCCACAATCTTTATCATTCTTTTATATTTTACGTGTAAATGGTAAAGAAATTAATTTTGTGGCATAGGGTATTATTGGAGCACTATTATATTTTATAGTAGAATAAATATAAATATATATTTAGAGTTGTAGAGGTTTTTATGTTTTTGATTTTTCAAGGATTCTTTGGACCTTTTTATATGTCTAGATACTTACAAAAAACATCAAAATATTTATGTTTTGATTATTAACTTTGATTATTTGATTATTATTTCTGTTGTTTGGTTGATTTATGTAGATTATGCTTTCACAAAAAATAATTCTTAATATTATTTTATCCATAATAGCAATCTGTATTTCTTCAATAAAAATCCAATTGGTGTTTGAAGGCTTTTTTCGAAATATAAATTTCAATATCTGTTATTATCAACAACCAAGCATTATGAATTTCGTTGATCTTGATGTTCAGCTTTAGAAAAATCATAATCTATAAATTTGTTTCCTACAATTTGTCTAAATAATGTTCCAATTAGATAATTCAATTTCAGCTGTTCATTAACGCTGCGAGACGAACATGCTTCATTTCGCTAAAGCTCTTCTCCTACCTAATAAGTACTGGACAAAGATATTTAGATTATTACTGAACATAACATTTTACTTTTTACAGTGGTAAAAATTTAGAAATAAGCTAATACTATTTCTGATAAATGTTCATTAAGAGTCACTAATAACTCTTCCATTAAAATTATATTTTTCTTTCAAGCACTATGGCTCCAGCTCAGCGTAAACACTGAATTTATCATTGTTGATTCATAACATTAAGACATTTCACGATAACATAATTCAATTTAAACCTTACGTACATGTCACTTTAATTTCCTTTTCCCCTTCTGTAAATCCAATCTGTGAATTTACGGCTCTGCATACAAAACGTTTCGTGTCAGGATCCTGAAAGAAAAAAAGGCTATTAGTAACAGTAACTGTATTCTTATTTTTTTATGGAACAATTATTTTCACAATAAGAAAATCTCGATAGTTACATTAATTGAATTACATGACAACTGTATGTACCCAGTTTTGAGCATATAACGTTCAATGTTTGTGCAATATTTATCTATTTTGAGATTTGTACGTTATTCACGTATCAGAAAGTAAACATTTATGCGTCTTGCTGAAGCTGTTATAAGAAATCTCAGATACAGTTTTAAGTGGGAAATGAACCGTGAAAGGTTTTATATATGAAAATATTGAGAATGTGGAAGGTTTTATATATGAAAATATTGAGAATGTGGAAAGATTTATATCTGAAAATATTGAGAATGTGGAAAGATTTATATCAGAAAATATTGAGTATGTGGGAAGTTTTATATCTGAAAATATTGAGTATGTGGGAAGTTTTGTACCTGAAAATATTGATGATATTATTACAACATGCTATGCGATACTTAGCAGAAGTATAAGCACATTTTCTGCTACATTTAATCCTTAAATCTATTTTCAGTGTTGTTTACTAGGGTGTAAGATGAGAAATGTTTTTTGATATTTTTAACGATGTTTTTTTCCTTGCACTCTTCATTATATTTCTTAGTTTTTATTGGTGCATATTTATTCAAATATATGTTATTATTTGTTTGTTTACTTTGAAAAACTGATTGTGTAAGTCAACCTAAACATTTTGGTTGATTCAAAGAGTGACTTGGTTTAACATTATACAACTAGAAGATACACTAAATACGTATAATGTTTTTACATACTGAATATTATCGAATAGCTGGGGGCTGCAGATTCGAACTCATTCCTCATATTTCGCGGTATATTGTCAGTTTTTTCCGCCTCACAAGATGCTAAAAAAAGGTTTTCATCTCTTAAAGGAACATATTTTACGAACGGACTTACAAAATACAAATAGATATACAAAGCGTCTTGTTTTTTTCGATACTTTATTGACATAAGATTTTAAGAATTCAAGTTTATCATGGTATAAAACTTTTTCCGACTTAAACGTTCCCGTTTAAATCATAGTCAAGTTTTTATTATCTGACATTGAAGCAGAAAGAAAGAAAAATAAAAACCCCTTGGTTTAAAAGAAAACAACAGAAAGTCTAGCTCAACAGAGACATGATAAGGGTTCGAAACACGATATGTGACTGAATACTCCCTGTATTTTTGGTTGACTGTACGTTATAGTTATGGAGTTAATCACGCCTAGACCGACACGTGTTACTCTCTGATTGACCTCCTAGTCAGCAGTTCTAACTTAGCGATGACATGCTGAACGTTGGAAATTTCTGACTTAGCCATTTTGCCCATATAATGTATCGCGTATGGTGCTATTCTGTTTGAAAATGCTAAATTCTATGTATATCAAAATTTCAAATTTCGTTTTTGTTATTCTTTGGATGTTAAAGCTATTAAACTACTGCAGAAAAAAAATCTTCAGATTTTACAAAAACATCTTTTAGAAAAAAAATAAACATTTTGGGAAGCTACTCTCACTTAAATTACGATGATCATATTACATTTTTGTATGATATATTTATATGAAATATAATTCTGAATGAAAACGATTCATATATGTAAAAGTACACATGACATTTTATGACAAATCTGTACGTGAAGGGGAAAATGGATATCATTTTCGGATTCAACGTACAGAAATTACTGTAGAACATGTAAAAATTTCAAGATAATAAAACCATCGCAAGCCTGTGTAATCTGCCAGTTCTTTAACTTGTGTGCACCAATACTCCATGTACCTTTATGGGTGGGGGATTTCTATTAAAGGGGATACGTTTTAACATAAATTTAATCAAAACGGAACTGTTAAAAAATTCTTACATTCGGGTAAACATTTCTATCTCGAAGCTACAACCCACAAGGATAACTTGCAGTGAACGAGAACTACATAGGACTACCATTGCAAAACTTGATATATGGTATATTAAAACAATATGCAGTCTTTAAGCTTAATCAAGTAACAAAACCTATGTAACTTCTGACGATTGTTTTTTTTTTGATTTTTTGGAATTTCGCGCAAAGCTACACGAGGGCTATCTGCGCTAGCCGTCCCTAATTTAGCAGTGTAAGACTTGAGGGAAGGCAGCTAGTCATCACCACCCACCGCCAACTCTTGGGCTACTCTTTTACCAACGAATAGTGGGATTGACCGTCACATTATAACGCCCCCATGGCTGAAAGGGCGAGCATGTTTGGTGTGATGGGGATTCGAACCCGCGACCCTCAGATTGTGAGTCGAGCGCCTTATCTACCTGGCCATGCCGGGCAACTTCTGACGAGAAAACCTATAATTATCTATGTATACTTTGTATCTAAATTATTTGCGCAAAAGCCCTGAATAACTAGCGTAATATAATAATCAGTACATTGTGCTAGTTATTTGGGGCATTCACGCATATAATGTAAATTCAATAGGTAAAAACTTCTAGCTCAAAGCTACTATGAGCAAGGACATATTGCAGTGAATTAAAACTACGCAAGACTACCACTAATATATGTACATATATGAATGTGTGTTTGTGTGTATATACATATGTGTCTCATAATTACAACATTTCATTAGTTATTTATTGTTTTAGTGCATACCAGAGAGGGGCAAAGTTATGTTGTTATAAATAATACCTTTATGGAGCTTCTTTAAAGATGGTGTCTGGAGCTTCTAGTTTCTGTGTTTTACTTGGAATTTATAATGAATATACATTTTTATTTATTACATATGCCCCATTTTAATAATTATCGCAGTTAATGTTTATTTAAGAATACCGTCATACCTACCAAAATGAGTTAAAAGACATTGCCACAAGTTCATCATTATTATTTTCTTAAGGACGTGAAAATACAAGTTCTTATGAGTAAAATATTTTTAAGGTTGACATATTCAGTGGTTGAAAGATAATTCAAGGTTCGAGCTTGAGCGTTCATACCTGTTTTTGATTATCACTTTGTATTGTTCTCTTCCACGTGTGAGGTTTTTGAATAAAAATTACATTTGGTATACAAGTGCCGCTTCCACAGGTACCTACCCTTGCAAGGTATGATCTATTTTTACCATATTGTAGTTTGCTCGTTAATTGTATTTGTCTGCCTTTTATGTGTGACGTATTTTGATTTGGTCTTAGTCGTCTGAGATGTTATATACATATATGTTTTTATTTATTTCCTTGTTTTTTGGTAGGAGGGGAGTACGGTATCGATATAAAAATAATATAAAAATTATACTGTTTTTAATTTGCTTTCTTGTGTGTCTAACAAACAATAATAACAAATCAATGTGATTGATTACACCTCACACAAACCGTTTATGCTTGTGGCCATTGGTCACTTTGTGTGGATAAAACTAAACAAAAATAATCTCGATTAACCAACCAATGATTTGTAGACCTTACATGACGCTGAGAAATTAACAATAACCAATCACTGTCTGTGATTAAATGTTATGAAATAAATCACATGTTATTCTGAAGATGCCGTAATGTTACTAGTCTGACCGAGACTACGATAAACTATCAGCCAAATTACACATATAAATTTATAGTTATGTGTTATCATATTTCATTTTTTTAAATACGTATATATATTTCACAAAGTATCATGTGCCTGATCCTAAATTTGCATCAAATTAAAGAGAAGTACACATGATCATTTAAATTTAAGTTCTTAGCATAGAAACAATAAAATGTGATATATTTTAATCTTTTATACTATTATTTCGGACAGTTTCTGGAAGTGTTTGACTGAAATGAATTCTAAAATTATGCGCTTAGAACACCTCTAATTATTTTACAATAAGAGTACAGAGTTTTTATCACATTTAGTATTTCTGAATGTAACGAGACGTATTACAGATCAGTTTCATGAACATTATACTTTTTAGAGAAGATTAGAAGGTGATAATGGCTGCTTTGTGCTTATGTTTTTTTTAATACTCTGATCATTTCTGTATAAACGTTTTTCGCTAACCATCTTACCAGCATGCTAAACTTAATTCTAAAATAACAAGAAACCATCCTTACTCAACTAGCAACAGGAGTATTAGACGAGGATCTCCCGCATGATTCCGTTATCTTAATTTTGTTATCATCAAATGTTATACCTCGTGAGAGATGATCAATTTTGAGAGAAAAACAACAACATCCGTTCTTATTTTTACAGTGCTGTTAACATCTTGTAATCTTGTTACTCCTCCAAGCGAGAACGTACTAAAGCAACAATTTAATATATTTTTCTAGAAACTAATTTTAAAGTTTCTTTGAGTAGGATTTCTTTCGTGATTCACAGATGTGTTAAAGTAATTTTATCTTTCAAACTGATATTTTTTTTGAAACACGTGATACTCTGTCTTCAGTATTTTTGTTTAATAACACCAGCTGACACAAAATAAATAGCTAACGAAAACGACTTTTTATAATTGTTTTTTATAATTTCCATTGTGGTATAATAAGTGAGATAAATATAAGGAAATAAAACGAACATTTTTGGTACAATGAAAGACATAAAGCTTTATAAGTTGCTAAAAGCTGACTGGTTTCGGTAACACAGTTATCATCAACTGCGTTAGAGAAACTAGCGAACTTTAGGAAACTAATAAAGTTTTATGTTTAATTTTATTAAAGATCGTTGTACTCTTCATTTTTATTCAACTACAGATGTTAAAAAACAAATTTTGAATAACATCTAGCAATTCGTAAACAAAACGACAAGCTAATACTGCCATTCAAATGAAATACACGTAATAATGTTTGTCAGCAAACAGCACGAGATGTCTTCCAAGTTTTTCTTGCATTAAGTAGACGTAAACCAGACATGCAATTTTAAATAAACATCGAAAATCATATACTATGAAAGTAAAGAACATATGTGTATAGATAAGAATGATTACGACAAGTTACTATATTCTATACTATAACTTATTATACATTCGTCATCCACGTAATTTCTAATTCACATCAAAATGACCAAACATATAATGTAACGATAAAAGGTACAGCTAGATATAGAACTATAATAACTATCGTATTAAAATTGATTAAAAACTTGGCGAATTTCTAGATTTATGAAAAATTATATGAGTAGTTTAATAGACAATAGATTTGGAATGTCATTAGCTCGGTTAGATAAAAAGTTTCGAGATTATACGAGATTAATAATTTGAGTTTATACTAAGGTTTTTACGCTTTACCTATAAATTAACTTCTGTACATCATTTATTACTAATTTATTTACTAATTAATTGATTTAACATCATAATAAGCTTGCTTTCATTTATTTATTTAGTTTACATATATGTTACAAGCAACAAAAATAAATGCCAGAAAGAAACATACATTTTTTTGCCTCTTCGCAGATTTAATTTTGACACATAGAAAACACACCAATAAATGTCCACAATGTATATTGTTTTTGTGCCTCAAGAGATAAACTTGGTACAATTGTGCAATAAAAATGTCCAAATTTCATGTCAAGAAATTATCTATTTTTAGTTATAGACTTGTATTTAGATTGCTGATGGTTTTGGAAAATAGATATGGTTAAAATGAGAATTACAATACCCATGACAGACCGTTATTTATTAGATTTAATAACAGAAATGCAGAATGGATAAACAAAATAATTTATGAGGGCGTCTTCATTGATTTTGCATTATTTAGAAAAGTATTGTTTCTGTATATTTTTTCGTTTGTTGAATATGAAATAATTAAGTGAGATAGAACAAGCTGTTCTTGATGTGTTTTTGAAATTATTTTCTTTTTAAGTATTTCACTTAGTTTGAAAACTTAATTCATTAAATGCTAATTGTGAACAAGAAAATAGAGACAACACGTTTAATACTTTTTGTGTGCTTATTAGTCGAACATTATGTTATTGAAAAAACAAAACAGTTAACATATAATAAGCCAGAAACATTGGACGCTTTGTTAAAAATAGACTTATCATCCTTGGACATTTTCTGTTTCCTTGTTTTTATTTTCTGTTTTTTTTACAATTATTTATACAGAAATACTTAGCATGGTACTTACTTTAAATTAAAAATATGATGCAGTATCTTATAAAATCTACCTGTATGATAGTAAAGAAATAATAGCATCTCAAAAAGGAAGAAAAAAATTTGTTTAGAAATATACCACTCATAAGATTGCAGAATTTACCTGCCTGGTGAGAGTGACGGTTAGGTTGGACGTTGTTATCCATCCATTGCTATCATTTGTGGTAACATATTCGCCACTGGTGACAGGTTTTCCATCCACTGACCAATTCACTTGTACAGCTGGGTTACTAGGAGAAGTTGTACATACAACGGTAACAGTATCTCCTCTCCTGGCGTTTGAAGGCCCTTTTAAATACATCTTTTCGGGAAGATCTAATTCAGAATATAAGGAAATCTTTTTAGAAGTTTTTTTTTATTATAAACAAGTAAACACTTAGTTTCTCAACAATAAATTGAACTGCTTGAATCCTACTAATATTTTAGCTCTGTATTTTTTATCAGCTTCATCTTCGAAAGTGATCAAAGTTCAAACTCCACACTGAAGTGGATAGAATCTCACATAAATCCATATATGTTGATATCATAAAGCAGCCATAGAAACATTGGCTTCTGTAATACCGTTATTAAAGAAAAGATATATGTCGCTTTAATTATAAAGAATGTTTTGAATGTGAAATTAACAGGCAGTTCTATATTAATTACTTGCGAAAAATTACGTTAATGTTTGTTTGTTTTGGAATTTCGCGCAAAGATACACGAGGGCTATCTGCGCTAGCCGTCCCTAATTTAGCA